TATTATCGTTTGGAGCCAGTCAGTTGGGTGTGGGCCGCAGTGCTATTCTGTCAGCGCTACATAAATTCATTCAGGCAACCGGAAGGATACGCTGCTAGTGGTACTGCCAGATATATCCAATTATTTCTCCCCCTTCCTCATTCTTGTTAATTTGTTTTATATATTCTGGTTTATCGCATTCTTCTGCAATTTTTTCACGTTTTTTCAAAGGAACATTATTAGTGTTTCTATCTAATTTCTCTTTATTTTTTTTTAGCAAGCTTTGTAAAAAATGATCTATTAAGAGGTACAGTGTGGCCAATCCCCCATGTGGGTATGAGCCAAGATCTCCTAGGAGACAAGACAAGACAAGTTGGAGCTTTGGATGGTCGACTCGTTATGCTAATCGCATTGCGCGACTACTGGTTGTTCCTTCGCTGTTTTAAAATGCTTTATAAGTCGTATTATTGCGATTGCTTTCTCGACATCAAGCCTGCCTAAGGCAAGTTTGACAATAAGTCACAAGCACCGGTGTAGCTCAGTGGTAGAATATTGGGCTGGCAACCAGTGGACCTGGGTTCGAGCCCCACTGTGCCACGGTGCTAGGTTTGTGGTGTCATAGTGATGTCACAGCGCCATCGCGGGACCTAACTTACGGCCTGCCTAAAGTAAGTTTGACAACAACTTACAAGCATCGGCATGAATCAGTGGTAGAATATTAAGCTGGCACCCAGCAAACTCGGGTTTGAACCTCACTGTGTCATTGGTGCAAATTTTTTTTCTAATTTCGAGATGAATCAGTGGTAGAATATTAAGCTGGCACCCAGCAAACTCGGGTTTGAACCTCACTGTGTCATTGGTGCAAATTTTTTTTTCTAATTTCGAGCGATGTGGTTACAGACGCTGCTGCCACCAGATATGCAGGCAGCCCTGGCAAAAAATGGCCTGAGTGAAAAAGAATATCAGCACAGCCCTTGAATCGCACGTCTCCAAGGGCAACCGCGAAGGAGACCAATCATCACGCAAAAACAGCGGCGGAGAACAGGAAGGCTCGAAAGGGGCAAGCAGAGAGAGAGGAGGTCATGCATGTGGCGGCGAGTAGAGTTAGTGCTAGAGCCCCAAGATCAAGGGGCTCTAGCTCTAACTGTGCTGCAATGTACTCTGGTTGATTTTTGAAGTTTAGGTTTTGTCATTCGCCCGTCACGTGTGCGCAATGAGCCACATTAAATGTGTGCTTGGTGGAATTAAAGCTTGCTGTCACAAAGTTTGCAGAAGAAAATGGGAACCGTGCTGCTGCCAAGCCCTTCAGCATGAAGTTCTTCAATATGTGATGATTGGTAAGGGTCGGTGAAAGCAGGAGAGTGTTCGCCTTGCCGTTGAAGAAGACCTTTGTGAAAGTTTAGCCCCTCCGATATCGCTGTGTCATGAGACCTCGTTTCTCCCAGCAGTCGAGAAGAGCTTCAAGAAAATGGGTCGATCATTCAAACCTGCTCAACGTAACCAAGCATGGCGCACTTTGGAAGGGCGGTGACAGCGGTTACAACCAGGATTCCTAATCAAACCAAAACTAGACCGGCACATGACCAAATCTGGCTGGTTAATGTATGTGCTAATTCTGTTAAGGAAGCACTCTTCGTTCATGTTCAAATTTATTTTCTCACTTATTTAATGTATATACAGCGCGCGTTAGGACTGTTGCCCACTATTTTAGGTGCATTCATGAAATCTCCGCGCAATTTGCGCACCCTCTTTTCAAAGCTCCAAAATCGCAAGTGCAAAAATTATGCGTGTAAATATGGTGCTTCATTGCTCTGTGCATGGGCATGACGTGCAGCTGCATCAAAATAAATCTAGGTTCGTAAATGGTGTGGATCTTTTAATCCGATAGCGTGCGGCCGAGGAACAACCAGTCTGTGTTAAAACTGGAAAGAAATCACTACTGAATTTTTATTCATTTAATTTTCCCAGGAAGACTTCATTTAATCAGGGTTAGTGCCATGGCGTGTTGATTAATTCGAATAGATGGCCACATTTAACCCTAAATAAACTCTCTGATAGATCAGGAGATTTGTAAAATTTGGTTTTGTTAGATTGAGCTTTAGCTGTAGTTGCAAATTGCTTCTTCGTGTGTTCTCAGTGCACTTTTTTCTTTCTGGTCATTAAAAGCACTGCTTCTACAAATTTCTGCTAAACATGGCAGAATTGTAATTCATAGTTTGAAGCTTCATGGGCTTTTTTAAAATACCATGAAGTTTAACTTTAAAAATGGGCAAGCAAGTGCTGTCAAATATCTTGATGGTCTGAGAAAGAAAGAAATGCATGTTTTAGCCACAAACATAAAGATGTTTGTGACTTATTGCGTTTGTATTATTGCGTTCAAAGTAATTGTACAACCTACTTTAGATTATGCATCTCTAATATGCTACCCTCACACTAGAAAAATATTTGGGAAATTAAAAACATTCGTAAAATGATCAAATTCATAAAAGAGCTGTTATATTTTGTATAACAGTTTCAGCCATACCTCAATAACTTGTTGTTAGCAAAAGGAAACCTCCTAACACCTACTCAACAAAATGAAGGATGGAGATTGAAGTTTTTGTTTCAGTTTGTTAAAGGTTACTTAGAATTGTGGCACATACTTAGTTTCTCAACAGGATATGCCACAAGGCAGAAGCCTGCCTTTACACCAACTCCATTCTCGTCCAGTAATAACACATTCAAATATTCGTTTTTCTCCTGGACAATTACCTAATGGAATAATCTTAGTGAAAGTGTTGTTTCACAATTAACCTAAAACCTTCTTGCTGCGCACAGCCCTAACAGTGAGTGTTTCAACTCAATTACGTGTACTGAGGTTCATTATTTCAATTACTGTAGTGTTTATTCTCTACTGCTAATAATCTCGAATATAATGCTGATCTCATTATATGCTCTTATGCTTGTTTATTGCAAACCATTATCTTTATTTTTTTTTTCTTCTGAAAAACGGTGCATCCTTTCATATTGTAAGATATTTAGCGCTGCCTTGACTTGCAAACACGCAGACGCTGAGTGTCATGTGTGTTACTTGGGTCGATGTGTGAGTGTTTGTGAGAGAGAGAGAGCTCTTTATTGAAAAGCAGAGAATTTAGTCGGTGTGTGAGTATCGCTGACTTGCTATTCTGAGTGGGGAAGGGTATTGGGGACTGAAAGACAAAAAGAGAGAAAGAAAAAAATAATAAAAATTAAAGTAAAAAAAAGTAAATATACAAATACTTTTTTTTTTCTCTTGGGCGGAAACGTGTGCTGACAGAATGACTTATTACGAGTTTTCAAGCTGCCTCTACAGTTTGTTTAGCTGACCAATATTGTCTAAATACGTGAATAAAAGTTTCATCGCATGCCTCTGTTGCATGATGCTGGGGAAGAGCTGAAGACACAATCAACTGATAAATTTTTTTGGGTTAACATATGCATGTAGTGTTTATAGAGCACACGTTCATCGGCATACGCTCGGCACTCAAACAAGATATGTTTTACAGTTTCTGTGGAGCCACAGTTATTGCAGTATAGACTTTCTACTTGATCGAAACGGTATTGTAAGTTGTTTTCATAAGCACTGTTCAGCCGGAGACGTTGGTAGAGAGTTTCCAGATGTCGAGGGCTTCGGGATGGGAGTCTAGTTCTTAGATGTTGGCCGATAGAGTAGAGGAAAGCATAATGATACGTCGGGAGGTTCCAGAGCCTCTTCTTTTCTTCGGAAGCAAGCCTTTTAGCCAGCTGGGAAGCATCTGATTTAGTGAAATAGGTTCGCCTGTAATTTTGCTTTGGAAGTCTTTTGTGGGCCGCTTGATCTGCTTTTTCATTGGCCAGTATACCGCAATGAGCTGGTATTTATTGAAAAGTGATAGCGTGACCTGTGTTAATAGCCAAGTGGTGTAAGTACACTATATCAAATGAAATCGGGTGATAATTTGTTTTCTTTAAGAGGCTAAGCAGTATTTGTACTGCTCTCTTGGAGTCGGTGAAGATCACTCATTGGTTTGGTGTTTGATGCAGGATGTAGAGGACTTCTTCTTTAATGCCATGAAGTTCTGCTGTCGTTGATGATGTTCTGCGTTGTAGCCGATAAAATTGACTTTGTCCTGTAGAGGGGACATTGAGGCCATATGACAAAATTTCCTGAGTAGTTGAGGTGCCGGTATAAATATGAGAATGCTGAGTGCAATGCTGGGCTAAGTAGGAGAAAGTAGTCTGCAGCAGTGTGGTCTGAGCAATACGTCTCTTCGCTTCATTAATGACTGGTACACACAGTTTAATATCAAGAGGTGAAAGCACCAGGGAGGAAATATTGGAGGCATTAACTTCTTTGGCTGTCTAATAGCAATAAGTTGCTGCATTTGCACAGCTTGGCCGAATGCTGAATTGCTGTGGGTGAGATGTATGCAGTACAGAGAATGCTTGTTTCCATGTAAGACATGGCGTAAATGATTGCGCAATATTTTTTTAGTGCAGATGACATCCAGCGGGAGACATCCTGCTTCCGCTACAGTTCTTGAGGCTGATGAGCTCTTCGGAAGGCTAGACCGATTCGTAGGCAGTTTTTTTCGTGCGGGTTCTAAAGTTCTTTTGTTTTCTGGCGATAATCGGTGAAGTACCCGCAGGCAATAACGCAAGGTTTCTACGATATACGCTTTCTCAAGCAGGATAATTGATCGGCACTTACATCCCCATCGTGTTCCCGCCATAATTTTGAAGAGTTGTGATGCTGCAGCTATTCTCGCTCGAAGTTTCTTCACCTGAAGAGATCAGGAAAGACTTCTGTTGATGACTATTCCAAGAAATCGCTGAAATCGTACATACGTCAGTGGCCGGCCACCTAGGCCGGCCACCAGCTTTTTCTTTCAATTTCTGCGAGATGCCACTGCCTGTAGGAAGTAGTGCGCTCTTGTGGGGTTCAAGCTGAGAGTTTCCAGTGCATGAACTAGACGTTGTAAGCAAAACAGCATGAAGTGACATGCTTCTCTCCTTGCCTGCAGCATTTCATTCAGTACCTGATAAATTCTACGGTCGACTGCACCTATTGCACTTCTGAAAGTGGTGAGCACGTGGAGTCGCTCAGCTGCCATGAGAGGCATGCCATCAAGCTGGAGTCCACACATGACACCACAATGGCCGTCCAGACTAATGTCTTGTAAGTCTGTCTCTCTGTGATGCATTTCCTGTGCCATGGGTCATTATGGGATGTGGCAGCACAGTGGCCTGCAGAGGAGGCTCTTCGCAGCTTCATTGTTATGGTCGAGTGTTGAGTATCTGATTGCTGAGATGAAGGTATTGTCAGATAGTTTTTTAGAAGGCTAACTGAGCAGTTAGAGATGAAGCACTTTATTGGGTTGACCTGTGCCCAGAAAAATAAGCAATTTCTGCAGTGCCATCATAGCTTTGAATGCAATCGCCGGTTATCATAATGTGGTCATCGGCAGAACTTAGGCCCAACATTACTGCTGGGGCTCGCTAGTTCTAGAATTAACTTGACCGCTCATGTCATGCATGCAATCTTATAACAACAGTCTAAACTAACCTCGAGAAGTTTCTGAAACACTCTAATCTTGCAGCGCAGCGGGCACCGAGCAGCAGCAATAGCTTTTGTGGATGAAATCCAATCAGTTAATTGTAAAAAGATATGTGTCTGTCACAGTAATAACTGGTAACTGTTTTGTGTGTTATTGTGAAACTCGCAATGGCTGCATGCCAGTCTTAGAAAAGAAGTCCTTCAGCATTTCACGTCGGGGTTTCTTTGCGTTGTCTAGAGCCATAGCTGACACGGTTATGCGTGTAGCACCATCTCAGTGCATAATCTTGTTAGAATCTTTGTAGTGCTCGTAACTTTTTATAAGTGTAAAGGCTAGCCAAAATTGTCCATGAATAGGACTGTCGTCATACTCATGTGTGCTTCCTGTTTTTGCATGTTTGTTGTGGAGAGTTCAGGGGCAGGGTATCCGACGTATTATTTGAAGGTTGCAGGTTCAATCCCTGCTTGTGGCAAGTTATCTTTTTCTCCACTTTTCTTTCTTAGCATTTACATTACAATTGCAGCTGATAACACCCCCTATGCTTTTCTTGGCATCATTGTCTGTTAGTTCTAGTTTATATTGTGTCTAATAAAGAAAATGAGCCCTTATATCTACACTTCTTTCCTTCATTCATAGCGAGGGTCCAGTCCTGGCAGACTTGATGCCTTGAAGTAGTATGCAAGAGATATTAGCTGCCAGCTTGCAATAAGACCACATGCCATGTGACACAGACAGGCAAAAGAAGAGCGTTTCACACTCGCTGTAACTGGAAAGCAGCCGTAGCTCAGTGGTAGAACATCGGACGCTTAATTTGAACGTAACAGGTTCAGTCCCTGCCCACGGCAAGTTATCTTTTCCTCCATTTTTCATGCTTCACATTTACATTACAACTACTTCTAACAACATCCCCTATACTTGCCATCATTGCCTGTTAGTTCCCATTATTATTGTGTTAGACAAGACTAACAGAAATTCTTTGTGTGATGTTGCATATGTGACTTTACCTGCAAATAATTTATTTATCAAAAACAGACGTAATCAATAATGTAGTCATAACGCCGTACACCAATACATCTAAATAGCAAGTCAGGCATTATGTGCATGCCAGCTTTGTGTTCTATGCACATTATGGGTATTGTCTTCATTAAGGAGGTTCTTCTTTTTTATCTAGCTACAGAATGTTGCTGAAGTCTCGGGGAGCCATTGAGGCATCACCTAACGACCTTGGTGACCTCCTTGACTTGGTGCCAGCAGGAATAGCTTTCAAGCATCTTCCCACTCCAGATCCAACAGAGGCGAGACTTCAGGAAAGCGAGAAAGTGAGACTGGAAAGTGCGGCTCGCGACAAGCTGGCCGAGCTCGTGTTCACGGCCGAGACGGAAGTCAAGCTGTTCACAATTCCACTCTTTCACGAGTTCATTGAACTGTTGAGAAAGATGGACTACCTTACGGACTTTGTCGACTCTGTTGCCAACTGCAACCGCAGGCCAGACGAAGGTGGTGTTGGCAAGAATTTGTGCGCCGAGAAACGGAGTGTGAGTTAGCTCTTTGGAGCAGTTATGTGCATTGCAGTAATTCTAAACATTGCAGCATGCCCAATGAGCTTTTGTTTCTTTGACACTCCTGCCATGTTAGTGTCTCTGAAAGCCTTGTGTTTTCTTGGAGCACTGATAATATTTGCCAACATAAAATTGCTGCCTTTGCGTGGCATAGAGAGGATTGTGCATTAGTATGAAATCAAGAAAATGTGATACGAGGTCACACTTATATGTGGTCACATGACCTTATATCAGCGCTGTCTTTGCTGACTATAAGACGCGGGCTTCTTTCCATTAAACTTTAGTTTCCAGTCAAGGCGGCGATGCAGACTAGTTCGTTTAGTTCACTTGCATTCATATTTGTAGCTCAAAACGGAAAGGAACGGAGACAGAAAGAAGACATAATCAGGACCGGCGCTAGTTGTCAGTTTATAGAAGGAAAATTTGCAGGGCAGTATGTGAAACAAGTTCTCATATAAACTGTGGCTTGATGCATAACCCAGTACTCAGAATGAGAAGTGACAACTATCAGTGCGAAAACACAAGCAGGGACTCAAAAGTGCAGACTACCAACTCGTTTATCCTTAGATGAAAGCATGTGCTATGCGACCAAAAGAAAAGAGAATGCATTGGAACTGCATGAACAGATTCTTTCAGGTTAGCATGGGCCGACTTCTATTCTAGCCTTGTTGGTACGACATATCTGAAGTATTGAGTGTGGATTCATCAAGAAGGAACAAGATGAAGCACGCGTTTATGCACACAGACAAAAATTAAAATACACTGTGGAGTTTGTGTCAATGCCTGAAGAGTTATAAGGTGCATCACGGGCTGTTAAAACTTTTTATTCACTGGTTATGAAAGTAGGGTAGCTCATGCATCTGTCATTCTCTTCTTCTATCTCTAGTGTTTCATGGCTCTATTACCTAAGCATTTGTGAATAGTAAATTTTAGGTTCGTAATTGAACAGTGATTTGGTCATATAAATTTCAGTTGAAGTCGAGTAGCATATACCACGTATTAGAAAAATAAGCATATTTGTGATGACCCAACTAGCTTGCACCAGACTGTTTAAAATTGAAACAAGGTAGGAGCAAACGTCACCTTCCCGGACCTGTGGCTATCATCACCGATAGTTGGTTGTTTCCATTGTACAACTAAGCAAACCAGCTCATGTTGTCTCTTTGTACTACTTTTTCATTCTATGAGTAGCATTGTATGAGTAAAGATAATCATATTTCACCGCTTTTTATAATGCCATTGGCCCTGAGGGTCTCACAAAATAAATAAATAAATTACAGCATATTCACGGATTGAATGATGATGAGTGGGGCAAAGCATCCAACTGTCTGTCCATCTGCCTATCTGCCCCTAAAACTAGTACCAGCCCACAAAAACCACTAACGTGATCGAGTGATGTAGGAATTTCACGGTTAAAGGGACCTTTATTAGCCCCAGAAGGCACAATGAAAGGCGGCATCCAAATCACAGATCGCCAGCAAGTCGAGTTCCCACAACCGATGAAGACAACGAACACTCATGATGAACAACATGTATGAAGAAGGTGGATGTGTGTAATGAATGCCGATACTAACTACCCCTCCCCCCCCATGCAAAAGCGGTCATCCTGTAGCGAAAAAGAACATCTTGTGAAAGGCTTCATGCGTGATACGTGGACTATCTCTGCTGTCCGGCAGCGGCGATTCGTTGGAAGAATAACGGATGCCATGCGATAATTGATCGGAAACATTTGCTCCAAGACAGTGTAGGAACCAATGAAGCGTAATTGAAATTTGTCGCACAGGCCAGCAGTGCGAATGGGTGTAAAAAGCAGCTCTTCATTGTCAGGGCTGAAGGACACTTCACAATGAGAGGCATCATAGTCAATCTTGCTATCTTATTGCTTTGCTTCAGTGTTGACACAGGCCAGCTGGCTGCAATGAAGCAGATATGGCACATATTCTTCACTGGAGGATGAAGATGGTTTCACAGGTGCAGAGAAGAACTAAATGTCAAAAAATAGAAGGGGAGCGACCGTGGACGAGGTAGAATGGCGAATAACCGGTTGTGTGCCGAAAGGAAGTATACGCAAAAGAAATGAATGGCAATATTGCGTCCCAGTTTCTGTGGTTCGGGTCAATATATATAGATGACTATCATGTCTGACAGAGTGTCATGAAAACGCTTTGTCCGCCCGTTAATTTGTAGATGGTAACTGAAGCTTGTTTTGTGGGTGGTGCCAGAGGGCTTGAGCATTTTGTCAACGAGTTTGGAAAGAAATACCTTTCCCCAGTCACTCAGGATGACACAAGGGGCGCCGCGGCAAAGGAATATTGCTTGGAGAATAAAGTTGGCAACTTGCTATGCTGATGTAGAAGACATGGAAGCTGTTTCAACGAAGCATCTCAAATGTTGACAGGTGAAGCTTCATCCATCGATTGCTATCCATCGATTCCCCGTGACAGTCATAGGAAGCAGGCCGCAGAGGTCGACGCCGACTACCTCAAATGGGTGCAGCGGAAATGGAAGTTGTTGTAATTGTCCGTTTTGAACTGATGTAGAGAGCTTGTGACGTTGACGAAGGGCGCATGAGGCAACGCACTTGGCTACACTGGTGGACGGACCCGGCTAGTAGTTGTGACATCTGGCGCGGTCGTACGTTTTCTGGAAGCCCAGGTGTCCAGCGGTCATGTTGTCCTGACATGCCTCGAGGACACATGCTCGAAAAGAGCGAGGTAGAACGGGCACCCAGCGTTGACCGTCAGAGTGGTAGATATGGCGGTACAGGACCCAGTTGTCGTGCTTGAATTATGTCAACTGTCGACGAAGATGGGCGTTAGGAGCCCGTGAAGACCCATCAATGCGGTTGATGAGACAACACTCGTTCGAAGGAGTCGGGACCAGAGTAGTTAAGGACGAAACGTGTGGAGAAGGGACGTCCGAGAGCTCATCGCATGCGGTAGTGATGGTGTCATTAGGTGGATCCCAAAGAAGCGGGCAACTTGAAAGCGCTTACTAAGCGTCTTGGTGTTTTTTCCCCGACTTGTATGCAATACTGAAATCATATTCTTGCAAATGAAGAATCCAGTGATCAAGGCGGCCAGACAAGTTCTTGGGTGTCGAGAGCCAGCACATGTGACGGTTCATAAACACAGTGAAGTAGCGGCCGTGAAGATAAGGTTGCAAGTTTTGTATAGACCAAACGACCACTAGATACTCCTGCTCGGCGATGGTATAATTCTTTTTGGCAGGCGTCAGTACATCGCTTGCGTATACGACGACCTTCTCGTGTGAAGACTTGTCTCGCTGTAGGAGAATATGACCTATGCCATGGCCACTAGCCTCTGTGAGTAGGAGCTAGGCGCAGTTTTGTTGAAATGACAAAGGACTACTTCGGAAGGCATGCTTCAGTTGGGCAAACGCCAATCCACATTCAGGAGACTACACAAAGGGGACGCCTGATTCGGGCAATTTGTGCATAGGCGAAGCTATTGATGTGAAGTCTCGAATGAATTGGCAAAAATATGAAGCGAGGCTTAGGAAACTGCGCAAATCCCTAGCTCTTTCAGGACGTGGGAAGCGTTGTACAGCGGAAATCTTGTCTGGATCTGGACAAATGCCGTCCTTGCTTACAATGTGGCCTAATGTGGTTGAAAAATGGCACTTCTTGGTGTCCAGCTGAAGGCCTGCGTTTGCAAGGCATGTGAGAACTTTGTCCAGTCACTGCAAGTGCTGAGGGAAAGTTGATGAGAAAATACCGATATCATCCAATCGGCACAAGCAAGTTTTCCATTTCAAACCTCGCAATATGTTGTAAATCATACGCTCGAATGTTGCAGGAGCATTGCAAAGGCGGAATGGCATGACGTTGAATTCATACAGCCCATGGTGTTGAAAAGGCTGTTTTTTTCTTGTCGTCCTCATGCACGGCTATCTGCCAATAACTCGAATGCAGGTCTAGGCTGGAGAAGTACTCGGCACCCTGTAGCGAATCCAATCTATGCACGGCATGGGGTAGACATCCTTGCGTTTGATCTTATTTAGTGTCGTGTAGTCTGTGCAAAATCGCACGGAGCTGTTTTTTTCTGTACTAAAACAGGAGATGACCAAAGACTTGCGGATGGACGGATGATTTTTCATTGCAGCATATCGGCGACATTTTCCTCAGTGACAACGGGAGGTGACCAAAGACTTGCGGAGGGATGGATGATGTTCTACTGCAGCATATCGGCAACATTTTCCTCAGTGACCTTTTGCTCAGATGAAGAGACGCGATATGGTCGACAGCGTACCATGAAAGTACCAATGGTCTCGATAAGATACGGGATAATGAATGTCTGCCCCAAGGAAGCAGAATAGACATCAAACGATGTCTCATGTTTTCGCAGCAAGGCAAGCAACTCATCTGACTGCGAAGAGGTCAGATCGGGACTGATGATTGCAGCAAGAGCAGAAATGCATGAGGACCGTACAGTAGAAGGAATGTCAGGGGACGCCGGCACCAGAGGAACTACGAAGACAGGCTGAGAATCAGCGACCCAGGCCATTTTAATGCTTTTAGGAATGAGAATTTTCTCGAACGTCTGGTTCGCAGTGTATAGGACGTCCGGAGCCATTGTGTAAATGCACTAGCCTTGAAGCAAAGGTTATACCTCTTGCGAGACAACGTGCAGACGGCAGGACAAGCACGTCACCATACTTGATTACGTCAGATGGGATAGCAACTACTTGTTGAAAACTAGGTGGTAGCTGCATATCTTCTACAGCGACCAAGCGAAGTGGCTTGTCATCTGCATAAAGGGTCTTCATCATGTGAACAAAAAGTTCACAACAGCATATGGAAGCATTCGCCGTAGACAGAAAATCCCAGCCTAATATAGGCTAGTGGGCACACGAACTCAGCACTGCAAACCGTATGTGATGGAGAAGTTCATCAATGTAAACGCGAGCGGTGCACATGGCGCTAGGTCTAATGGTGTCCCCTTGGGCATCAAGCAATGTAGGCCCATCATAAGAAGTCGTCACTTTTCGAAGACGGCAACACAAAGAATGAGCAATAACCGACAAAGACGCACCAGTGTCTATCAAAGCGTCCACGTATACACCTTTGATTAAAACAGATCCTATATTGTATGGACGCACTGGAAGAATTTGTCTTTTCGTGCAATTAAGCTTTTTCTACACAAGCTGCAGAGGTTAGTTTTCTGAGCATTGGTTGGTGAACTGCTAGACAGGTCGCAGCAGTGACGTAGAGCGGCGAAGGGCCGATAGTGAGCGGTGTCTATTAGGGCGGTAAGGTGGTGCTGTCGCAGATGTTGCAGTTGGCGATGGAGAGCGATATGGTGGTGGATCGTAAAGATGGTGTTGAAAAGTGGCATGGCTGCCCCGTCATACCATTCATAGATGCCGAATCCACGATGCTCATCCTGCTGACGCTTCTGACAAAAGTGTGAATAATGAAGCTTTAGCGCACACACACGAGGACAAATAAATAGAGACACAGGGACCACTGCAGACTAACAATTTATTTTTATTCAATAAGGAAACATAATATATACTTTTTTACAGCACCTCATGATCACTGTGAATGAGCAAAAATGGCATTGTACAACCAAAAAATATATAAGCATTCTTTAACAGATGCATTGTGATATCACATGTTGTTCATCAGTTCAACTTCTTTTTTATTCAGTGATATGGAAGGATAACTAACACACGTATCTTTAAGGCTAGAGATATGCCATGCCTCTGCAATTTCTCTTGTTGTCTGGTTGGGCTTAGCATGCAAAACTTCAGTTTGATTAAACAAAGTTTTACATGAGCCAAATGAACAACACGCACAATGTAATGCTAAATGTATCTCCGGCCTTCCCTTAAATTGTTTAGGTGCTCTTTCAATCTCGCATTCAAGCATTGGCCTGTTTGACCGACATAACAGTGCCCACAACTGACGAAAGTCTTATACACTACATTTCTTTTGCATTCGACCACCTGGGCATGTACTAACGATATCCTTTATTCTGTTTTCGTACATGTTATTTGCAGCCGGACACACACCCCCTACTTTGTTTTTTGCTGAGAATATCTACCTTGACATTGTACTTAGTTGCCACTTCCTTATGTTTATGAGAGAATTCATGCACGTACGGGGTTGCCGAAATTTTATTTGTCTCTTGGCTTTTTTCATCTTTCTCTCTGGATTTCATTTTATTTAATAATATTTCGCTTACAGTTATAAGAGCCGAATCCGGTATCCAGCCTTTTCGAGCTTTGCCTTCTGCTTTAGGAAAGACTCATTTAACTTGTGCTCGCATGTTTTTGTCTAAGCTGATTTGAAACAGCCCATTGCTTTTCCGTTTTTTACTATCCTTGAATGGGCTGAAGTGTATTGCAACAAGGGCTTCTCTGTTCTAGGGGAATACTTGCAACACACATGAATTTTTTCAAAAATAAGCTTCAAGTCTAGGAACTGTAAACAGTTATTATTGGAATGCTCAAATGTGAAAATTAGGCCTTTACTTCTTTTTCTGGATGCTTCCGTCACTCTGGAGGTGAGCATGCAATGTGGCTCCGATACCCGCAGTAGTAACATACTGGACGAGGCGATCACCATGGTGTGTAAATGGGCTGACTAGGTGCAATAGGAGACATCGAAGCCAGGTAGACAAGTGCCGAGTGTGCGGACATCGATTGTACAATGGCTGGTGAACCAGCAAGGACTTGGGCAAATGTCGGTTGTAGTCAAGGGGCCGGATAGTCTGCATACGCTGAACCGGCCATGAACGCCAACTCCTTCTTTATGACGTCGTGCAAGAGGGTGCTGAAGTTGAGGAGGAGGCAGGATCATGGAGAGGCCAAGAGAGTGCAGCTCTTTTTGTATAATGGCTCGCATCATAGCACGTAATGAGGGATCAGTGGTGGTGGTGTCTTCGGGGCTATCTGGCAGCAACCGTTGGGACTCGAGTTGGGACTACGTTGTCACGTAGTAACAACCTCGGCGACTGTTGTCGGGTTTTGAATGGCCAACGCATTGAAAGCGACCGTGTCGATGCCTTCATGAAGTTATAAAGTGTGCAAACTTGGGCAAGTTGGTAGGACATAACTGAATACACAAACAGCCCAACTCCAATGTAGTTACAGTGTAATTAAGGAAGCGAAGAAACAGAGATAGAAAACAGAGCTGACTTCCAGCTTCTTGAAAGTAAGCGCTCTTTTCTATCCTTGTTTCTTTGCTTCCGTAGTTACACTGTAACTACATTTAAGTTGCGTTGTTCGTATATTTAGTTCGTCCTGAGACATGTTACCGAACACTTTGCCAAGACGGCGACTTGAGTGAAGCTCCAGGAGATAAAGATTGGAGCGAGAGGACAGAAAATCGATGAGCAGCCTCCACCATTTGTAATATTACAATTAAAGCGACCTTTATTAGGCCCAAAAGGCATGATGAAAGGACCACACGCAAGGCACAGATGACCAGCAAGCCGAGTTCCCACAACCCATAAAGACGACGAACACTCATGATGATGAACATGTATGAAGAAGGTGGATGTGCGTAATGAATGCCCACAATATTATTTCCAAGGACATATGCACACAACGCAATCTAGTGAGCAATTCATAAACTAGAGGTGGCTACATACATACTATATACAAACAGAGGTCACAACGACCCACACCCTAAGGATCTTTGCCGTTAAAAAGGAAGTGGAAGCAACTCTGAATATTAGCAGGTATTCACTTTTGGTGTAATACAAGTGATGACCTGCAAAATATTTTAGGCTATAGAGTTTACAATACTTAGAACACATAAGCTAGTTTAACATGCTTCTTAACTTAACAAATTATGAATCAGTGTGAGGGTAATTATGTTTATTCAAACTTGAAACGAGGCTTTGTGGCAGTGCAGATATTTTTTTTTGGATACATGT